TTCCCTGATCTTCCTATAAATATTTACTACTGAGAACACATTGATAAAATTCTGAGAAATATTTGTTATAAGAACATTCTTTGACAGGGGCATGTTATTTGACATTTAGGCCAGCGTGGGTATTTTATCTTGTTCTGATTCACTTACTGTACGATACACGAAGACTCTGAGCAGTTTGCCTCCAATGGTCTCAAGTTTTTGTCCATTGTAAAGCTCATTAAGGCCAACTTTTACTTTCAAAATGTGATTCTGCAGAATCAATTTAAGAAGGCGCTGATCCATGCTCAGGGTATCATCTATAGATAAATTGATTATGAAAAAGTATTATTTTATTTAGAAAGCATTGAAGTTTCTCCTATAAAAGAAAATCGTGAAAATGGATAATCCCCAATACTACGGATCTTATTGGTCCTACATTAATATAATATATGAGTTGACTAAGTGCTGAAGGCTAGGAATTCTATGCATCAGTTAGAAACTCCATGAGCCATTTCATCAAATGACTAACATGGTATCAAGCTGTCCATACAATGGGTTTCATCTCTGTGAGGACCATGTGGTTTAATGTGGTCATTGACAAAAGTTAAACTCCAATGTTGGCCAAGATTTTCTCTGAGAATTTGATGTCCATTAGTCACATGATAACTACTGATATATCATCTGTAAATTTTTTTTTATTATTGGAGAGGGAATTGAAGCACACAACCTCTTAAAGGTGGGTTAATGTCAACATGGATGGATATTATTAGTACAAAAAAGAAAAACAGCATTTCTCAGAATTTGAATTTTCTAATTAATTTTCTATATCATAATTTTCTAAATTTTCTAAATTTCTAAATACAAATAATTTAGTATTTGGAAAAAACATAAAAATGTAAAAAGATGATATTTATTTTTTAATTGCTAAATTTTGCCTAATAATTTAAATTCATCTTTGCCAAGTCATTTTTCTGGAAAATGTGGCAGATTCCATTAATCTAAACACAGTCCTTGAGTAGCAGCTGCTAGGTAAAATACTTGAAATAACAGTTCATCTCTTAATATGAAAGTGTATCATAGTCTTTTGTTTTTATTTATTTGTACTTTACTTTCAAATTCTGAGCTGCACAATGCGCCTAAGTGTCCCTAAATATTATTATGTTGGTGTTAAGTAAACCACTCAAATTTATTTTTCTTAAGATCTGTTAATATACCCATTATGTGTGCTGGAAATATGATCCAATTCACAGAATAACTGAAGACTCCTTATCACAAACTTTCACTTCCTGTAGGCTATTGTCTATTGAAAGGAAATGTCTTCAAATGAAGGTCATTTTAATAGCGACTACATAGCGCTAACACGTTGTATATGTAGCCAGTTAAGAAACTGATCAACACCTCTCAAAACCTCGATTAGTTCTTAATGCAAACAATCATGGTGAAGAGAAAAGGTGTGTAGAGGAGGAAAGAGCAGGGGTGACAGTGTCCTGTACATACCAGAAAACGCATTGTTCACAGGTGCCAGCAAAGTGTATTCTCCATCTGGCCTCAGAGCAGATGCCAAGCCTAACTGGGCCACAAGGTCTGTGAAAGTGGTCTGCTGATTTCCAGCCAGCTCAATAACTTGTTTGGCTGTAAAATAAACCATCACCATGCCAACAATGTCATCATTGTTACTACCGTCATCATGACATTAGTCTAACAATTCTTGGCCGTTTTCCGTAAGTTATTGGCTGCACTCACTATGTGATAAGACAACCTGCCTTTCCCTAATGAGAGAATGCCAGCTCTCCTTTTTGGTGGTTGATAACCAAAGAATTTCAGAAGGAAGACATCTTTCTGACTTCTTGCTTTTCAGTTTTCATTTCTCTATTGGTCACCTCTTGTCTCTCTGCTCTTGTGATTGCCATAGCTCTTTCATGTATCCAAAAGTAACCATTTGGTTATGTCTTGCCTTCTGTTTTCAAGAAAAACTCTAGCACCATGATAATCTTTATAAATATTAGGTGTTAGAAACTCTAGAAAGCCAATGATCAACACGTGGGTTGCCCATGACTGCATAAGCTACCTGTTTGGTACTCAGCTCACTAGTTTGTGTTTGTGCTTCATAAGTTGGTCCTTATACTGCACATTTATTTTCCATGGACTTACTCTTGAAGCATCATACTTGGTAAACGAGTAGGTAGAAGAATATGAAGCTGCTGCTCACCAGAATCAGGAATTAGGACTTGGTCAATCAAATGGATAACACCGTTATTTGTCACAATATCTTTTTTGTTCACCATTTTGATTCCATTTACAGTTATGCTCTCCCCATCACATCCTATCTCAATTGTGTTTCCTTCCAAGGTCTCGAAGACTGCTCCTCCCATGATAGCCTCAGAACACTGCAGGGTGTTTAAAATGTGGTACTTCATGAGAGCTGGAGGACAAAGCAAGAAGAACAAGCTTTCAGATCAAGGAAAACAGCATTTGACGCTGAAGAGATGTGTTTCCCTGTGGAACTAAGTAGGAAATATAATACATGTATAAGACTTAAAATTCTGTTTGTGTTCTAAGAATTTTTTCCCCATCAACTCTACAATAAAAATAGCTCAGCATGGTAGGAAGTAGGTAGGAGAGAAGATCAGTTGCATGGAATGATTTGTGCAGTTCTAGAAAATGTGTTAGAGCAAGTTCCCAGTATCATAAGAAAATAATTTCTGATGTGAAAGCAAGAATAATTGCTCCTTTCAGAAGGCCTGGAAAGTCATTTGTTTGAGATACCTGTTCCAAAACACCCAAGCAGTATCTTGCATTAGCTGCTCATAGCAGAATAACTGTACAGGCATACCTCATTTCACTGAGCTTCACTTTATTATGCTCTGCAGATATTGTTGTTTTTTTTTTTAACAAATTGAAGGTTTGTGGCAATCCTAAAGACAACCTCCAGAAAGTAGCCAAAATGAAGATGATTTCTTGAAGGACTTCTGAAGGTCTCTGTGCCTAAACCATATCCTGTTTATATCTGCACCAGAAGTTCTCATCTTAAATTGGTTAAGCATATTTGGGGTAGGCTGAGTAAGTGAAATGTGCTAGTCACAACGTAAAATCTAGTTGAAAATAAAAAGGGAGACTGGAAAGAAACCAAATTCTGTGTATCTGTAAGTAATGATCAAAGAGAACCGGGCAATTTTCTCAACTCAACTTTAGGGTAAGTTTAGAATTAAAAGCATTGAATAATGTATACACAATAATAAAATTTGATGATCTAATATTTCTTTTCAGCACCTTCTAATTCTTTTTAATGTTGGCTACTTATATACTTGAAAGCACTGCCAAAGAATGTGATCTTTAAGAGACCCTGGTTATTTAGTTACTTTAATTATTAAATTAACCATTTAATTACTTTGCCTACTCCTTCGAGAACTTTGTTTTTGAAGATTTTTATAGTCCATCTCAGAATAAAAGTTTTTCTTTGCCTTTGCTTATCAAAGCTGATAATACTGGCAGGGCTTAATCTCTTTTTCATTTCCTTTTCTTGGAATTCTAGGATGCTTCTCCTAGAGAAGGACACTTGAGTACCTTCAGAAGCCACTTTGTCTCCCATGATCCTTTGTAGAACACCTCGTGGAAGTTTCTCGAAAGCTTCATTGGTGGGAGCAAAGAGTGTGAAGTGACCATCTCTTCCAAGGGCCTCCAATATATCAGATGTGATGGCAGCTGTCTGAAACACAAATGTGCTTTTTAGAGGCTTGTACATTGCAAATCCAGAAGACAATTATAACACACTCAGACATGAGGGAGTCGATTCTATAGAAAACTATAGACATTTGCTTGTGTTAGAGCTTTAAAACATTAATTTTTGGCACAATCAACTATGTGTTTCAACTTTTCCTCAAACTGTATGTAAGATGGGGAATTTTGCCAATGCCTGTGTGACTGAAGCAATACTCAGCAGTAAATGTAGTAACTGACGGACACATTCTAAATGCACTCGATCCACTACAGTCAGGTGACTAATCCTTATCTATTTTGTCCAAATAAATAGTATTTCATATGAAGAGATGATATCTTCTATGTGAAGTAAAAACCTATTCATTTCAAGAAATACACTGATTACAATTCTGTCAGATTTAATAGCTTTTTATTTGTTTGTTTGTTTGTTTTTTTAAGATTCTGACAGGGAAAGAGAGGGGATGTCAATGGCCCAAGACAATCTTCTGGTACTTCTTGTACTTACCCTAAAAGATGAGAGGTCATCTTCCGCTTCAATGAAGTCCTGAATTGAGGTACCGATTTGTGTAAGGACGCGGTCAATGACATGCACAACACCATTTGTTGCAATCTGGTTCCCGTGGATGATTCGAGCACAGTTAACAGTGACTACCTGTAATTATTTAAGAAAATCAAATTGCAGAAATCACTGCTATCCACTGACCACTGAGACTGGTAAGCCCATTTCCTATTTTTCATTTTCATTGGTAAATGTAATGTGAAAGAACTGACAGTCTGACTGTAAATGCTGAGGACGAAGACTTCACATTGTTTTGTCTAAAAACAAAAATACCTAAGACAAAACAGAACCAGTTGAGAACCCAAGTCCAGTTACACTTAAAATATCTAGAAACGCAAGGCAAAAGCATTCTTTTCACTTGAATTATGGCT